TAAGAACCCATCAATTCATGAGTAGATTAAGACAATGTGGTATTATACACACACACACACACCATGGAGTACTACTCAGCCATAAAAAGGAATGATGTCTTTTGCAGCAACTTAGATGGAACTGGAGATTATTATCCTAAGTGAAACATCTCAGGAATGGAGAACCAAACATGGTATATTCTCACTAACAGGTGGGAGCTAATAAAGGGGTATACATGGACACAAAGCAATAAAAGGACACAAGAAATCAAGAAGGGGGAAAATGGGAGGAGGGGTGTGAGACAACAACTTACCCCTTAGGTACAATGAACATTGTTCTGGTGATGGGCACAGAATATCTGGGTAGCAAAAACACTTGCACCTTGTTAATATCTTGAAGTGAATAATAAAAATAAAAGTCCAGAGCTATTTAAAGAACCTGAACAAGTTCACTAAGTGTATAAGTAATCAAACCCCAGACTGGAATTCAAACATTCCAACTCACTGTGGCAAGTTCTTCCCTAACATTACCCCCGTCCTCACACTTGAAGCAGGATAGAAGTAGGAGATATTCAAGTCTTCGTTTTTCATTGTGAATCCTTGTTCTTAAATGTTATGTGGATTTTCTTTACTTGGAGAACAGAATTGAAATGCATTATACTTGAAAGAGAAAATGATTACAAAGAAAGACTATGATCTTAAAAATAATTAGCACATAAAAGATGTTTCTAAAATTAAGCAATTGACCAGCACAGGCAGAAATGTGACTGATTCCTTACATTACAAACTCAATTTGTTGATATTAGAATGGAGGGTTTTCAGATATCTTAGACAAAGTATATGGATATATTTAACTAAGCAATTAACCTAACAGCCACTTCAAAACACTGACCCTTTTCTTTTAGAGAAACAATTATAGAAACTTCAATCTTATTCTGAACAAGCCAGTAAAGATAATGAAACAGAAATGCTGGTGTCTACTGTGCAGTAAGGATGTCTATAATCTTCAGAGTTATTATTTGTAAAATTTAGAAAGCTCTAGTGGAATAGAAACTTAACCTTAGGCCAGGGGAGGTGGCTCACACCTGTAATCCTCACACTCTTGGAGGTCAAGACAGGCAGGTTGCTTGAGCTGAGGAGTGTGAGACTCTATCTCTAAAAATAGCTGGGCACTGTGGCAAAAGGCTGCAGTCCCAGCTACTTGGGAGACTAAGACAAGAGAATCACTTAAGCCTAGGAGTTTGAAGTTGCTGTGATCTAGGAAGCCACAGCACTCTACCAAGGGTGACAAACTGAGACTCTGTCTCAGAAAAAAAAAAAAAAACTTAACCTTAAAGTTATTGTCAGTGTAACCTTGTGAAATATAATAATCACTAGATTCAAGTGAAGGTGCCCCAGGGAGGGCAAAGGGACCCGCAATCTGCTCTTATATAAAGAGCAGATTAAATCTTTGCAGACCATTCCTAGCATCCTTCAAATTTAATCAAACCTCCAAAGCAGTAGAGTGATCCCCCTGATATTCTCTGCAGAGCATTTCTCATGACCTGCAAGTCAACAAACCAGCCTTCCTCCTCCTTAGAGTGCAAGCTCTCGGTGAGAGCAGAGACCCTGCTCACCCTTCCTCCAGCTTCATCGCCTAGAAGACAGACCAGCTCCTTTATTTAATATCACTTACCTATGCCTTACTATGTATGCCAGGAATTGTTCTATTTGCTTACTTAATCGACATTCAGTTCTCACACCACTTCTATGAGGTAGGCTCTTATTAACCCCTTTTTACACATGAGGACACTGAGGTGCAGAGGAGTAAAGAGTTTGCAGGACACAGCTGGGAGGACAAAGGCTGGGCTTTGAACCCAGGTAGTCTGGCTCTAGAACCTGCTTGTAACCGAGATACTCTGCTGCCTCCCATCCTAAATCACTAATTACTTTTAAATGAAGAAAGTAAGAAAAATGACAATAATGGAATGGAGATAA